TACTAGTAATAGTAATAGCAATAGTAACAGTAATAGTAATAGTAGGAATCAAATTATGTGATTGTAACTGCCCATTGGGGGAGCTAAGGAGCTGGGATGGTTTATATCAATATAATAAGGGGGCTAAAGAGCCCAGGAATCTCCAAAACCATAGGGGAGGTAATTATTTCATGAATACATTGGACATACGTTTTAAGCCTTATAAAGACCATCTGAAGTGACAGTTGTAGATACAGCAAGCCAGTAAGACAGTGGATACAACTTGTTCATTTACTGGATAGTTCTTAGGAGGGAATACAGGAATATGAGCCCTGTATTATATAAACAATAAAACCTAAACCACATTTCCGCTGAACTGACTGGTGGGCAGTGTAGTGTCGCTTGAGTGGTAGTGTAGTGTATTCGCGACTGTGTCAGTGTTGTAGTTGCGCCGGACCGGACAGTCTTTGCCGTGCTTGCTTGTGCGATGCGCGTGTCTAAACCACATTTCCGCACTAAGGACCTATAAGTTAAAGTGGGGTGTTAGAGCTCCCAGTCGCGAAGCCTGATCCAGTTGCAGCAGAGTAGGCCAATTCTATGTCGTGCATCTTTCTGCTCAATGATTAGATTTTCCAGGGACAGATACGCTTATATAGGGGTATATCGGGATATTTCTATGTACTGTCATAGATAGGGATGTCACCCCAACGGTGCAGAATCAAAAGGAAAGAAAGAATTGCAGTTTCCAAGACTGAGCACCTCAGATAATTTCTTACTTCGCGCAAAGAGCTTTCGGTGGATTGATGTCGGTGGTTGGTTGGCGTTCCAGTTTCGGAGCAAGCGGTTAGTTGCATGTCAGAGCCGCCTACTGCCCTCAAGCGTCACGACTGACTAGGAGGTGGTGCTCGCTGCTGTGAAGACACTTGGGAGGCACTTGGTAGTTTTAGGGTCCCACGTTGGTACCTCTAATATTTATAATCAAAAGGGGCCCACGATGTTGAGAATAAGCTTTCATTTTGGAGCTACGCTTTTTACCAGTGAATGCTAGTCTCTGGTAAGAAGGCCGAAAGAGAGGCCTGATGTAGGATTGGAATCAACGTGCACAGTGGGTAGACATGTAGCCCGACAAAAATTCGCTGCTATGACTCTGGACTCTGAGCACCACTGTTCTAGCATCATGAACAGCGATGCTCATGGCAAGCAACCATGGCAAGGCAAGGGCTTCACAACATCAGTAGTCTAGACTCGTTTACACACATTTGCAATGGCAGTGTTGCCAGAAGATTGTCAATAATGTGGGTTGAGTACTCCGATGATACTGCGGGTACAATATGCAAATTGTCCGTTTGCAACAGGGAACCTATTTCCGGTTAGTTTTATTTGCAGAGTATATAGCGTGATGCACCACTCATGTAGCCGCTCTGTGTAATGAGACGCCATAGGAAAAAAGATGTGCATAATCCCTGTCTGCCACTGTATGAACCCCTATAGAACCTCAGATCATAGCACCAAGGAAGGGAGCGTTTGCCCTGCAGTTCGCGAGCCACGCTCTTCGCAACGACCGCATGTTTCTCACTGGTTGTTAGTAAGTAGGGATAGGGTTATATACGGAGTATATATGGGCATATAGGGTTATATCTGGGGACAGTACGTCAATAGTGGAGAATGAAATGGAGAGGCAAATAAAAACCAGATGGAAACTCATGAAAGGTAGTTAGCAGGGAATGAAAGCATACGTAACCTTATAGAAGCCCCAGAATGGCCACCATTAGCCTAGTGATTGTATGTCCTGTTCCCATTTCCTCAACCCCAAAGACTTCAATAGTATTTTCAATTCTCCATTTGCAACCAAGAACCAGCAAGGTTTGTACTGGCGGCGGTGCAGTGCAACGGCTTCGCGGCAAGGATCGATTACCCATGCTGTCCCGGAAATAGGGGAATGGGTTATAGGCACGGATGTAGGGATTTTGGGAAAATTAAGCGATGATGTCAGGAGAACTTTCCCCCATTCCAAGATAACATGGGTGGCAATCAGAGCTCTTGCCTTGTGTAGCAAAATCTTGGGTTTTGATGGCAGCTTGGTCCATGTTCGCTTTGGCACATGGCATATGTGGCTCACGCTAGCCTTATTCCAGTACATTGGGAATGCAAGTGTCGACATGCATCAACCCTGACTACTGCAATCTGCGATCGCGTGTTGCCTCGCCACGAAACTGCTTCGATGTTCGGTTACTTCACTTGCACGTTTAACGGTGTCCTCAGGTTATGCGCTGGGCTGCGCGGAGAAATTCCAGGGAGACCGCGAGATTGTGCAGACAGCTGTGCGGGAGGATCGCATTTTGCTACCAAACCTGTTTCACTGGGCCGGTGCACCATTCGCCAAGTTCTGCTGCAAGGGTTTTTCATTCAATTCTTCGATTCGACTTGATATTTCAAATCCTAACCTTGGGCTACAGCAAATCACCCGTCCTGGCAGCCTAAAGCATTCCGCAGGATGGCAGCGCACTGGAATATGCCTCTGACGCGTTGAAGCGTGCCTCGGCCATGCCCACATTTCAGATAATATGGTAATAGTAGTAATAATGGTAATAGTAAGAACGGTATCAAAAACCAATGGTAGCAATGGTAATCATAGGAATAATGTAGTAATGGGAATAGTTTTAATAGTGGTAACCATGCAATTCATGGCATGAGGTATGTTGATTGGCCCAGCTTGTCCAAGTTGTGCAGAATCTGACAGGCGCAGAACAGCAGATAAATATCAGATGAGTTGGCCGGCAGCGCATATCTCAAAACAAAGATTTGTCTAAGAAGTGCACCTAAAACGACTTCCCTCACACAAAGCACATGGAGGAAGCCTATACTGTCATGGAGGTTTAAATGGCCTGAGAGCCAGAGTGCAGAGCCTGACCATGGATGCTAATTCCATTGGCCAAGCCTTCGCAAAAGCTTGCACGGCATAATCATCCGCTTTCTCGAGGTGATCGGGAAATTGCCATGACGGCTGCTCGGTGGAGTGATGCGGCGCTGGAATATGTTGATGAATCGCTCTGGCATGACCGCAAATTTGCTCGCGCTGTGCTGGAAAAGAACGACGCTGCCTGGGAGTATGCGGCTGGACAGCATTTGCTATGACCGCGTGCAGGCACGATGTTGCAGAGATGTGAGAGCAGCTGATTTCAAGGCATCGGAGAAGCTGCGAAGCGATCGCGGCTTTCTGCTAGAGGTCCTCCATGCCAATCCAGGCTGGCTACGATTCCTTGCCAGCAACAAGATGCAACAGATCAGCAAGATCATTCAAAACAAGCAGCAGCAGCAGCAGCAGAAGAAGCAGCACGTTAGCATGCTACTAGACCAGAGTTCCAAAAAGAGCAGTTTGGGTGATGATACCCATGCCGCTGCACAGATGAAGATCACAGGTTTGACGCACATTCCGTTGACTGCCTGTTGCTAGTTGGAAATGAGAGAATGGATCCCTTCAGTGGTTTCTATCTGATCTTCCCAAAATAGTCCCCACAACCCATTCCTCCGTTCCCAGCTCAAGCATGAGCAAATTCCAGACGCAGGGGTTTTGCGCCGGCTTCCACAGGGTCAGGCAGACGCTGAGCCCCTCGGCCCCGCAAATGTATGGTCTACACTCCTTGTAGGGGGGTATTAAGGGGGATACCAGGAGTTTAGATTAGACCTCAGAAGAGGGTTTTGCTTTGGGCAGTTTGGGTTTTAGTGTACACGTAATGTGGGCCCAGATGCGTAGTTGGTTTATGTTACTCCTACCCTGATCAAGCGTGGACCTGACACCTGCTGCGTTGTGCTAGATGTTTTACTCAGATGGCAGTCTCCCAGAATAGGGAGACCCAATATAGATCCCAAGATATTGTAATCCTTGTTATTGGGACCCCCCACATGGTACCCTCTATTTTAGGAAACTCTCAGATCTTGAGGATGCTCCTGAAAGTCCTCAAAGCCCAGCCAGCGGCCTTCGAGCAGCTGCCTGCAGAGATGCGAGATGACCGAAACTTTTTGCTGCCCCCTGGCTGAAGGCTCAAGGCGAGCTCTCTAATACAAAAGAAGGACTGAACCGCTGCCCATTGTTTGGCAAATGTTATTCTGCTTGTTCAAGTTGTTGCTTGAGGCGGGCAATAGCGGCCAACAGCCAGGCGCAACATCTTACATTTGAAGCGCCTGGAAAGTCAGCTGAAGGATTTCAGGCTGTGTAGGGTTGAGCTATACGTGGGTGTTTTTTAGACAACAAACAGTTGCTCCATTTGCAACACAGTAGCTAATTCAGACAAACTCCCGCACATGCGATTGTTGGAGAGCTTCGTGGCTTGCACACCTTGATGGCATGCAGCCATTAGTCCAAGATACGCCCCTCAGGTGCTGGAGCAGTTGCCCGAATCGGTGTTTGCAGATCGCGCCTTCTTGCTGCGTGCCGTGGAGATAGAGCCAAAGGTGCTCGTCCACGCTTCGAAGGAAGTCCCCGAGATTTATGTCCAGCCTTTACTTTTTCTGTTTTACGTAGAACCATCGCAAATCATCTTTAGCTCTTGTCCATGGGTAAGCTTGCGTCTCAGGTTCGGGGAAGCAAAGAAATCATTACTCAAGCTGCCAAGACAAACCCAGCGGCTCTGCAGTATGCCACAGATTCGCTTCGCATGGGAGAGAAATTTGTGCTCTCACTCGTCAAGCACGAACCAGCCTGCCTGAGCTTTTGCAGTGACGAGCTTCGATGCCATGAAGGCTTCAACTTGGAGGCGATGTCCAAGAACAAGGAAGCCCGCCACTATGTTCGCCCGGAACTGTGGGAGGATGACGCTTTCGTTCTTGAGGCACTGGCCATGGACGTAGCTGTACTGGAGCATGTTCCAGAAAACGTTCTGTTCGATCGAGCCGTGGCGTTGAAGGCAGTGGAGACCAGGGGAGCTGCGATGAAATACCTGGACGCGGGCCTTTGTGATGACCCGCAACTGGCACTAACTGCTGTGGAGGATGATCCATCCTCATTGGCATACGTCTCCGAGCGACTGCGCGCAGATGCCACGCTGGTGCGAGCAGCGCTTAGGGGAAGCGGCCTGGCTTTGGAACATGCCCTCGGGAACCTTCGAGATGATGCGGCCCTCGTCCTGGAAGCCACCTTGGCAGGGCCAACAATGGCAGCTCAGCACGAGTGCCCCTTTCAGTTTGCTTCTGATCGCCTTCGGAAGGACCCGGACTTCGTGATGCAGGTGGTTGGCGCAGCGGGTGCTGTGGTTCTTATGCACACGCCACTCCGCCGTGACTCGCACTTCTTGCTGCGACTGTCATGCAAGGTGCCTGAAGCCATCCAGTATGCAGACGAAGCTCTGCTCGAAGACCTTCCATTCCTGCTTACTGTCATTCGGCAGAACCCAGCCGTCATGAACTTCGTGCCAGCAGAATTGCGCGCAAGCGCCTCGTTCGTGCTTGCCTCGGTGCGAGGCAACGGTGCTGCTTTGGACTATGCACCCAGGCGTTTTCAGAGCGAGCCGGAGTTCGTGCGAGCTGCTGACGACGCTTTTCCAAGCAGGCAGCCTTTGAGTCACGAGTCATTGGAGCAGCGGGGTGTTCCACTGCATCGGCTTGGGGGCCCGGAGAGGGCAAAGCGTGCCGGCAATCGAATTGCTAATGAGTGGGATCGCCTCGATCGGCTGAATGCGAGAGGCTTAGGGGACGAGTGTGGCATTCTGGGACTGCCCGGTGATGCCTGCTTGGAGTGGTATGGGCCTTTGTTCCTGCTGGCACGCCTCAAGAGCATCTGCGTTTGGAGAGAGCTGCAGCTACACGAGCTGCGAGCGGAGAGCAAGGCGAAGGGCTTGGGCAAAGGACAGCGTCCTGTTGGCCGTGCCGACTCGCACGTGCACCCACAGGGACCGGAGCCTTCTGTGATCCTTCACGTCGGAGCTTCCATCTCTGCGCCTCGCCATTGTTGATGCCCAGCCCTCCTCCGTCCTGCTGCCATATATTTACGCATGTCGTGGTTTATGGGGGGGGGGGGGTGTATATTTGTACCTGCACCACTCCACTTGATATTGGCTTGGCAAGTTTGGTGCAGGCAGTGCAATGGTCAATAGTCAGATTCATGTAGGCATGTCCAGCCCCAAGGACTGCGGAGCTGTGGGTTTTTGCCATGGAGCAAGAAGGGAGAAGCAACTCAGAACACAGGGTGCTCCCTGAATGATACAGCTCAAAACTTGCACGCCCCGCTATGTGATTGCCACGCACGCACCAAACAAAGAATATATACCCAAAAAATCCCTATATGAACCCTATATAATCGCTGTGAGAGAGAGAGAGAGAGAGAGAGAGAGAAAGAGAGAGAGAGAGAACCCTATATAATCCCTATAATCCCTGTAGTTTCCATTTTATTTTCCATTATCCCAAATTACCCCAACATACTAACAGGTGCTCCAGGACTTCTACAGCGTAAGCAACCTGAAGCTGAAGACAGGGCTTCGGGGCACGGTAGTGAGCATCGACAAAGGCGCTTCGACGCGCAGCATGCGAATGCAGTTGCTTTCGCTTGTGTGGCATTCGGAGTTCGTAGGGAACTTGAAAAAGGGTGTCAATGGTAAGCCCTGTAAGGTGGCGATGCCAGGATCGATTTCAGCATAGAGTCTTTTGCGGGTGGCCTCAGCGCCACACAGTGGATCTACAAGAAGGCGCCATGACTGTATCGATGTAGCCGCCCCCACTGCTGCTGCCCCTCGTGTAACCCCTAGTAATTCCCGCCTGCAAATCCTGCTCTAGTTGCTACTCCTGACAGAACGCGACTTGGCAGGACTTCGATAAGTTGAGTGTAGAGAAAGACGATGAGCTGTTGAACACTGTTCTGAACGAGTTGACCGTTGAGTTGTTCGCCGGCTTCTACGACCCTTTCCTGCAAGCAGATTACAATTTTGAGTCTCAAGACGACATCCTGGGCTAAATGATCGAAATTGGTGGGAGGTACATTGTCACCTTGCATCTTGCTGCACTCAATACGCCTCACACAGCAGTAGTTACCGTGGGAATGCTGTTCTACCTCTCCAGGCATGGGATGTTGAGAGACAGAGGATCCCTTGCCGATAAGATGAGTCCTCAGCGTCAAATTCATACCCTTGGGCATCTTTATGCGAGAGAGGTCAAATACTGGTTGTGCTTCATCAAATTTGTGCTTGTAGTCAACCGTTTGTATTCTTTGGCCCTGGCGCCACGCGCACAAATTCAATCAGGTCCTGAATACCCGCTGACAGGTTTCGGTTTTTGTGACAAACATGTAAGCCATCATCAAGATTGCACGAGCAGCAGTTCTACAGGGTAATTGTTTCTCAAATGGCTAGTGCCCCCTACGTCCGTTTCGCCTTCGAAAGTCCACACACTCACACTACACTCTCTCCAATCGGTTGTTTTGGTATTCTGCATCCAAAGTTAATTACAACTGCACGACATTGTCGGAGGAAACATACATTTTCCGGAAACTTATGCTTCCAAAGACTTTCATATCAGACATACTTGGGCCCAATATAACCTTTATATCTTACCTACACACACAATCCCGGTGGTGCGTGTATTTCTTTACATAACCCAAATCATAAACCCTCTGAACTATAGTCCCCCCTTAAGTAGATACAATATGGCTTTGGGTATATTATAATAAGAGCCCCATATACCCCATACTCCATCTAGGGATTATAATATCAATCCCTACCCTGAAGCATGGCCCTAAACCCTAAAACCCCTAAACCCCTAAACCCTTAAAACCCCTAAACCCCTAAACCCTAAACCCCATGGCACCTAAGGAGCGCTCCGGGGTCCCTGTGAAGGAGCTTGGCTCCTTCGCAGCAGCCAACGCAGTCGTCGAGCGCTGGGAGGCGGGAGTGATTGAAACTGCCTAAATGCGTAGGGTGTATATAGGGGTTATATGGGTTACCTACAGGTTATATGACTTTATATAGGGGTTATATAGCGGATATCTAGGATTGAGGTTTCCCCAAAAAGTGGGGATCTCTTCTTCGGGTGCCCGGAATACGGATCATTGGACTTTGGGGCCAATATTGGGGTGACAGTACCTCACGAAAACTACCACATAAGCTTCCTTTGTTAGGGAATTGGGAGGACTGGATGAGGCTACAGAATTTGGGGTTGAAAGTCAGGGCAGGGGAACAGTTGGGATTTCGGCTTTGGGAAAGCTGGGGAGGCTGGAGAATGAGGGCGAGGCGGCACCATTCTTATCAATATGATGATTATTACTTTACTTGCTGTTCTTATTGCTACCATTGCAAGAGTATGTGCCCGACGCTGCAGTGGCAGTAGTAGAAAGCAAAAGAGGAGGTGGAGGAGGAAAAGGAGAGAGGAACGAGAACATACAAGTTGGACTGGAACTCACGGCCTGCGCAGTAGCATCAGTAGTGCTGAATATCAGCCAGCAAGGGGGCTGCTTGTCAGAAGTGCATTCACGTAGAAACATTGCCACAAGTGCTGCATGCAGTGACGAGCTAGTTTTGCCAGGCTTTGGGCCGCATGAGCAACAGCGAGCTGGCAACGGAGTTCGTCAGGCACGATGGGCAAATCCAAGTCGACTTTCAACCCCTGAATAATACTACTATTCCTAGCAATTCCTACTCATGTCCTTGTTTCGAGCACAGATTGCTGGAGATGCTTTGCAATCATTTTAACGTTCTGCTTTCCCAGCTGCTGCGACCCAGCTTGTCATGTTGCTGGCAAGGCTTTGCACTGAATCACAAGCTATTGAGACTTACATTGAGCTCCACAGTCTCCAAGTAGCATCTACTAGGAGCAGTTTCAAAGACATCGTGCGGATGAGATTCCTTACTGGGTAAAACCAGCTCCATCAAACACCACACACCCCTCGGTAAAACCTTAATATGACCTAAACACCCCCTGACTAAGCAAAATGGTAGCATCCGTAAATATTGGAACCCCAAAAACCCTTAAAACTTACACTCCATAATCCTTGTTACATGGACCCCAAAAATGGGGCCCTTAATTTTTGCAATCCCACCCCCTAATTTGAATTTGTTTAGCCTGGAGGTTGGTTGGCATTGAGCCAGGTCCTGAGGGCAAACTTGACTCCGGGCTACAGATGAAGGTTCAGGGTGTCTCGAGTGTTTCGGGAGGGTGTACGGTTCAGGGTTGAGGGTTTAGTGTTCAGGGTGTTTAGGGTTTAAAGTGTTTAGGGTTGAGGCTTTCGAGTTTGGGGCTTAGGGTTTTCCGGGTGTTTGCCAGCACTAGATTGAGACACTAACCACGCAAATTGTATTTGCCATAATGGAGAATTCAATGGAGAAGAAGTTGGAGATTGAAGTGGAAGCGGGCGGTTTATGTGTAGGCTATAATTACAGCGCCTTAAGGAACTCGCTGAAACTGAGTTCTAGCAGTTCGTATGGATGAAGACAAAATTTCCAGGATCTCGTCAACCCAGCAAAGCAGAATCTCTCCAGCGACATGATTCTCAATCTACAGTCACTGGCTGGAGAGCCGATAGAAGCAGCACCAGCCTGCCCAGCTTTCTCAAACACGGTTTCCAAGCATGAAATGCCCTTTCTCAGGTCCCTATTTTGAGGATTATGGTAATTGGGGGTCTAATATTGGGGTCCCCCTATTTCGGGAAACTACCAAATCCAGCGCCTTTATCATTTATCCTACATTCTTCCCCATGCAACCCCAGAAGCATTCCTAGGTGATGCCCCGTATCCGCCTATTCTTCTCACATCCCACCCAGGAAGACCAACTCAAGAGCGCGGCTGTTTGGGAGGAGTTGCCGCTTCCAGATCCTAGTCTTAAGATGCTGAGGTGAGTATGTCCCTAGCCGTAGGGGCGTGCATCCCTGACTTTTCCGTCTGGTGAGCCCCACAATTCGCTCCATACACTGCCCATGCTGGCCTGTGCTTGCTTCTGTTCACTCTCCCGTTATTTCCGATTTTCCCCCCAAGCCTTATCCAACCACTTGTTTCATACTGCTCTCTCCTCCAAGATGCCTGATGGTGTCTGGGGAATCTTATGGCATCTTGAAAGTGCGGCGATGCATCAGACGCATTTCAGCATCCGCCCATACTTGAGATTAGAAGTTCATGAGTCAAGTTGTCAAACAGAAACCTTGGATTTGTCGGTCTATGAGGGGGTTGTGGACGCCCCACGAAGAAGTCAATGGGAGTTGCCTCTGCCACTCTTGTTTCAATCAAGGAAATAGGAGGACCCGCCATTGTAGTTCAGACCCAGTGTCACAAGCTGCTTGCATGGGTACATCCATGCGCTCATACTGTGTAATGCATGTGTTTTTCAATGGCTACAGTCATGTATGCGAAGTCACCGTACAAGGACTGGTGTACATGTGTTTCAAGATTGACAAAACAAGTCTTCCCAAAACACGTTTGCGCCCCCTAGTAGCTTTAGTAGAATCCATTTGTGGCTTCCATAAAGCCCATCCATTCCTATACAGCCCCTATAGCCGCCTACTCAAACTATCCTTTATGGGCAAGTCCCCCCAATAGCGTACTATAGCTCTTGCACACCGCCACGTATGACTTCCTGGGGTTTGTTTATTCCCGACCCTAAACCCTAAGCTCCCATAAATTCCCTTATTCCCTAGGAACAGCCAGTGAGATGAGTCCTGCAAGGCTCTTTTCCGGCAGTGCGCCCGGTTTAAGCTTGCTGGACCTGTGGAGGCAACCACGGCTGCGGCCCGGCTCAACTGGATCACCTCCACCTTCATGGGAGACGTAGAATCATGTAGAGATTATACAGAGCTTTGTAGAGATTATACAGGGTTACACACACCCCTCTCCTCAATAGTTTTTTCGTTTGGATGTTCCAGTCGATTCTCCATTGTTGTATTTTCCCAAACCCAGAACTCAAAAATCTGAAGTTGTGTTTTGCATAGATGTGGGAGTTTGCAAGGACAGGGTTCGCCGTTACATACCCCATACTCTCAACCTTATAAACATCCAGATCACCCCCGTGTCCATTTCATCTTTCTCATTCACGTTATTCTCCATGATTAAGGTTATATGTCCATAGAGACCCCTAAAACCCAAATGTTGAAACCCAGTAGCAATGCCTTGATTCTGGCGGTAGTTGACCGCCTCCACACCTTGCCTCCTACTGCTGTTCACTTCAATGCTGTTGCCTTCATTCTGTGGGGTGCCTTTTCTTTTAAAATTCGTTTCAGTTTTCCACACGTCACTGCCCGAGATGAGCCTACTTGCTTTTGGATCTAGTTCTCCCTGCTACATCTGACCCAAGCGGGGAGGGGGAAAAACTATGAACCTTTGCTGACTTTGTTACCTTGCAATGCTGTATGGTCATGCAAGTGGCAGAAGCCCTTACCTTTCAAAGAGTATTCCAAGAGATAGTAGTGTCCGTTTTCTTTTGCGCTAACCCCAAAAAAGTCTGTTTATAAACCTATATAGGAGTTTGCCAAGATTAGAGCTACCTTTTTAGGGGTGCCCATGAAAAGGATTGTAGTCTATTGAGGCTTATACAAAAAAACTACCATATAGCTTTTTGTTTTCAAAGCTCCACGAGGAACTGCAGCGCGCGGAGCTGTGGGACCGCCTTCTAGGTACGCTTTGCAAGGCACCGGAGGGATGTTGGGACAGGGAGGGATTAGGGTCCCTTAAAGGGGTCGGGAGGTTTGGGGTCCCTTGGGATTATGTAGGGTTAGGGGATTTCAGGGTCCAAGTAAAGGGCTTCAAAGGGGATTGTGTAGAGTTATATAGGATTGTGGGGATATTTAGACTTTAGGGTGTAGGGCATAATAGAAGAAGTAGTGGATAATTAAAAGACATCGAAAATTAGATGCAGGGTCTATAGGGTTGAGGATGCAGGGTCTCAAAGTATTGGGTTTGGACTTTAGGGTTAGGATGGAGATTCCGAACAGACCCATCTATATTAGGGGAGTCGTAGAATGGCAATATAAGAGGGCCC